GGTCTATAATTCCGTCAAGTATGCCAAAGACCTTCTGGTAGCGCGCCCCCGTCCAGCGACGCCAGCCCTGCAGGTCCAGCGGACGGAGGAATGGGAAGATGTCGGAGACGTTGGGCTTGCCGAGCGCGGCGATGATGTCCTCCACGACCTCCCGCAGCCCGCTGGCGGACTCGCCGCCCACGTCCACCACGTCAACGGAGAAGAAGGCGCTGGACACGAGGTTCAGCACGCCGCCGTACACGGCCTGGCCGACGTCCACCTCCTGCCCGGCGCAGCGGCGGAAGTAGGCCACCATGTCACGCACCTTGCGCTCGCGCACGCCGCGCGCCGCGGCGAGGCCACGCGGCGAGAATATGTGCGAGGCCACGATGCCCCGCAACGTCTTCCAGAGCGGGTCGGAGCTGGGCAGCCAGATCATGGACCGCCCGGAGTTGCCGACCACGCTGGCAGCGTCCGGGACGGCGCGCGCGGCCAGGTGGCGGTCGTACCTGGTGAAGGCCTCCCGCGCAGCGTCACGCGAGGAGACCACCACAGTGGTGACCAGGCCCAGCTTGAGCTTCATGACGGGGCCGTGGGCGCGGGCCAGGCGCGCCAGCGTGTGGTGCAGGTTGCCGCCCAGGTCGAGCAGGTTGCCGAGGACCGGGAGCGGCGTCGGGCCCGGAGGCGGCCGTCCCCCGGTGCCCCCGCGGCGGGCTGCGCTGGTCAGGTAGTAGAGTAGCGCGGCGGCGAGCGTCGCGCATAGCAGCCAAACTTCGCTCTGCATGGCTGGTATGCTCAGGCAGGAGGCTGCCGGTGGCCTTGTATAGTGACGACACGATAGATAGAGTGCTGGTGCGGGAGTGCGATGCCGTTTGTTTGGTCGAGAGAATTTCGTGGAGGTTTTGCCGGTGTGAGAGTGATGTTTCTATCCAATATCAAATACTAGTATATGGCAATGTCAAATATTAGCATCAAACCAATTATGCTCGAGGCGTAGATAGACAGGCAGGCGTTGCCTCTCCTCGCTTGTTTTCTCAGCTTTCGCCTAATTTTCGTCATAGCCGTCCCACTATGTGATTATGTTTTTTTTGGGAAATGATCCAAATCAGCCGGCTGGGGAACACACACTCCTACACTCGCTGTAGTTCTTTTAAAAAACACATTAAAATTCAGAGAACGTTTCTGCATACCCAAATTTTGGCGCTCATTCAGCTAAAAACTAAATTAAGCAAACACATCTAAAAAATTTCTTAAGAATCTCAATCTTCTAAAATCCTGTAAAATTCCTTTGAATCTGGACTGTTGTTGACAAAGCAGCACAAGATTGCTCAAAAGACATGTCCTAGTAGCAAATTAGCATCTGACAAAGCAGCGCAAGATTGCCAGCAAGGCTGCAACTTTGTTGGTCTGGATCTCTCTCTACTCTCTTGGTCAAGGATGGCAGATCACACAAACATAGCAAACAACTTTTTTGTTGTGCAATGGGCAATTGTATAACCAGTTGACTGAAATCGTCCAACATAGTAAAAATGCACACAAAAAAGAGGGAGGGAGGGATTCACACGTAATCGAACTAGACTCCTATGATATATTGAAAGTGGGAGGGAGGGATTCACAAGTAGTAAAAATGCACACAAAAAAGAAGGGGCTACTCTACGCGGCGGCGCCAGCCTAGCCGGCTGCGTGCCCGGCGCCGACGACCCAGGCGGCAGCGGCAAGAGCCCTGTGGACCGCGCGTCCCCACGCGGACGCCTCGGGCGGCAGAGGCGCGCTATCCCGTCCGGGCCGTGGACGCGGGAGGCATGGCATGGACGGGCGAGGTCGAGGTGTCATCGACCTCAACTTCGCCGCATCCGCTGACATTGAGGACGACGGTGCAGCCGCGGGAGACGCGCCAAACACTCTCGTCGACGGTAGATGGCGCGGCGCCATTGACTTGAACCTTGACACGCCTGAGGACGATGAAGATGGGGACGCAGCGGCGGGTGGTGGAGATGAGGGGCGCGGCGCTGTGGACAATGGCGCACATGGCGGCCGGGAAGACGAGGACAATGGCGATGTCTGTGGCACCGGACATGGTGATGGTGAGTCACTTGCCGCTTACTCATAGCTCAATTCGTTTAGTACTCCCTCTGTACAAAAAAAACATAAGAGCGTTTAGAGCGTTGCACGGCCGGAGACGCCAGCAGCGGCACCCCTTCTTAGAGACTTTTTTACCAAACAGGAGGGACTTTTTAGTAACTAAACTAAGCATTTGGTACTAAATGAAGAAGACTCTTAAGGAGTCTTTTTGGAACTTTTTGTGACTTTCCAACAATGCCCTTCCATGCACCCATTGGCCCGCCACCTCATGGTGTTGTTTAATTGTTATTTTTCTATATAATAGAAGCAACATGGTCATTTAATAACCTCTAGAAAAGGACTAGGGACTTTTTAGTCTCTGCAAACAAACAAATAGGAACTTTTTAGGGACTAGTGACTTTTTAGTTGGGACTAGAAAAAGTCCTACGAGTAGAGAACCAAACACCACCTTAGCAAATTAATCCGATTAAATTTAATGAGAGTACACACGCTAGAGCGAGTAGTTGACACAGTAGTTCTCTGGCTAAATTTGAAAGTGAAGAATGCAAGAATGTAGTAACAGTCTTAAGTGCAATAATTATTTTTTGTAATAATCTTTACTTTTTAAGCTAGGAGTACTTGGCAAGTCCATACAAGTTTCTTTAGTTATATTCGTTTATCTGAAATCCATTTTTTCTTTTGTAGAGCTCAATTTGGTTAAAGTCTGTGCGATATTTATAAAGCTGAATTGAGTATACAGAGTATGTATATAGACCTACCAATTTTTCAGAAAGCTCAACTTGGGTAGAGTTCATGCAATTCTTATAAAGTTCATTCAGTTATCCATTTTCTGTGCCGTGGTAGTGATTTTTGTTCCATGGCAGTGTTCTCGTGCAATTCTCATGTTCTTTAGGTTTTCGTAGTGTTCAATTTGATTTTCTGTAGTTATTGTGTCAACTGACTAACAAGTTTCGGTGCGGAAGATGTCAAGCATGATGACGCTTTTGATGGTGAGCTCATTGTAAAGTTCAATTCGTTGTAATGCAATGTTTTCCTGTTTGCAACTAGTTAGATTGAACATAAGTGACCATGTGTTGTGCCTGTTTAAAGTTAGTTAGATTGACAAAAAAAGAGACAATCATGTGTTCTTTGATTAACAGTATTGGTACCATTCGGTTATGTATATGCATGTAGCTTTCTAAAATTTTGATAGTGTTCATTTTTTTTAAGATTAAGCGTACTTTGGTTCACTTTTGTAGCAGTGACCATGTTATCCTGTCGCTCAACATGTTCTGGTTCACTTTTTTAGATGAAGATGGGAATAACCTGCTTAACATGTTCTGGTCCACTTTTGTAGATGAATATGGGAATAACATGCAGTCACCGGAATGGAGTGACGAAGCCAAGCTAACTGTCTATGGCATGGCATGTTGCTGGAGAGGGCTACCCTAGGGGTTTTGAAACGTGGAGTGACCAAGGAAGTGTCTCGTTTGTCCGGTATGCCGCAAAGAACTGTACAAGACATGTGGAGGAAGGGAAAGCTATTCGGAGGGATGCTTTGAGTGTTAAACAAGAAGCCCAAAAAATGTGGGCGCAAAAGGATAGCCATTGACCCGGAGGCTATAAAAGTAGATGGCGGGAGGAAGAGAACAACCATCAAAGGTCTGGCAAACGAGTTGAATGTGTCGGCTACCACGGTTTGGAGGCAGTTGAAAGAGAAGGAGATCATGCGTCACAACAATGTCTGCCATCAAGGGAACTCTCATCAGTATTAGGGGATGTAGGTGAAGGAGGAAAAACTGACTTCTCCCTCTTCCTTCCTAGTGACCCTCCCCCTCTGTTATTACAACAAGCCCCCGGGTTAATGCACTCAAGATTTGCCAAGCAACCGGCCCACTTTTGGCATTCGGCGTTGATGATGCCCCAACGTTGACGAATAGAGCCCCTTGATCGAAAGTGGCCGCTAGTGTTGCGCTGATTGAAGTACTTCTTGATGCATTGCCAATACATGTTTGCGGCTTGGTCGATCCAACTGATGCATCAAGAGAGACTTGTTTTCTATGCGATACAAATCAACACATCTTCGGTGTTGGTATAATCTGCGGTTCTTCCCTTCATAACAAAGCCCTCTTTGTCCATGTCGAGATTATCATCATCACATTGAGTATCATATTCTTCTGATGCATACTCATTTGACACATTTGTTATTTTTGAATTCCCAAGATACAAAAGTCAGTTATTTTTACATCTACCTCTATTGGAGATGCTCTTAGTCTCGTGCGTTTGGATGATCAATCCCAGCACTCACTAGGTCGAAGAGCCGCGGATGACGCGTATCTGTCACTAGGTCGAAGCACCAGAGACATGTCGCGGATGATTGCTCCTGAACATGTGCAGGCAAGTGGAGACTTGGTGCAGGCTAGTTGGCCGCACGGGACGCGTCCTCCTGCATGAAGCAGCGCGATGCAGCTGACTTGGATGGAGCCATGGAGGCGGGGGCGGTGGAGCGTTCCTAATCAGATCAAGGCGACACCCGACGGAGAAGACATGCGAACGGAACAGTCGATGAAGAGGCCCGCGTTGGAGTACAGGCGCCTGGGATATAAAATGCGAACGACAGCAAGCCACCCAAACTGATTTTAGACCGGCGAGAGAGAGAAAACCGGATCAATGATCGAAAAAATGATTTTCTAGAGCAGCTGATCAACGCGTCGACGTACGAATCCTAGCTACAAGTTGCGCGGCCCCGGTGGAGATCGACCTTCCAAAAGGCAAAAACGGCACGACGCGGAACCTGTGGTGAAGCTAGATCTAAGAACTTGCAATTGATACCATGTAAGAGGATTAGAGAGGAGATAATTGACGTAACACGGTGCATGTCGTATTGAGCCTTTCGGGCGATAAGATGTGAGATGGATTACAGATTGTATTCTACCAAATGCATAGATATGCATGTATACTCACTCAGTCGTTCTCGTCCCCAGTGTCTGATTCGTGGGTGTTGCTATCGGCCTCCTGGCGCTCTTCGTGTTAGCACTCGCAGAAGAACGATTCTCCTCCGCCCGGTCACTTGTCGACGAGCGGTTACCGGTGCTGGAACTCCCATTCGACGACGTGTAGCTCGATCTGTGCCCTCCGCGCGGCGGTGCGTACATCGCCACCGGCATCTCCGGCGGCAGGTCCGGAGCTGGCGCCTCGAAGTGGAGCGCGCTCATGGCTTGTCGGATGGACGGCCGGAAGCCGTAGTCGGGGTGCACGCACCATAGTCCCACGACCAGCACACGCTCCATCTCCTGTGCATCGAAGTTGCCGTCAAGCCGCGTGTCCGCTGCGTCAAGGAGCGTGCCTCCCACGTACAACTTCTGGATCCATTGCACGAGCACGACTTTGTTCTCATCCTCCTGGAGCGGGGCGATGGGCCGCCGCCCGCAGGCGACCTCGAGGAGGACGATCCCAAAGCTGTAGACGTCGGTCTCCGCGCTGGCCCTGCTGGTCACCGCGCACTCCGGGTCCATGTAACCCTTGGTACCAGCCAGCATCGTCGTGTACCCGCCACGGCTGTGGTCGACAAGGCGTGCGAGCCCGAAGTCCCCCAGCTTGGGGTTGAACGAGGCATCGAGCATGATATTGCTTGGCTTGATATCTCTGTGCACCACGCACTGCTCCCACTCCTGGTGCAGGTAGAGCAGCGCAGAACCCGTCCCAAGAATGATCTTGTACCTGGTTGGCCATGTCAGTATGTTGGTGGAACTGTAGAGATGCTCATCGAGGCTTCCGTTTGTCATGAGCTCATAGACGAGCAGGAGCTCGTCAGCTTTATGGCACCATCCGACGAGCAGGACTAAGTTGCGATGCCGCAGCCGGCCGATGATGGTCACCTCCGCGACGTACTCCCTCCTCCCCTGGCTTGACGTCTTGGAGATCCTCTTGATGGCCACATGAAGCCCCTGCTCCTGTAGGTACCCTCGGTACACTGCCCCAAACCCGCCCTCGCCGAGCTTCTCCTCGTCGGAGAATCCCCGGGTTGCCCGGGACAGCTCATCGTAACTGAATCTCCGAGGCCCCGCCCCCTTCTCAAATACGTCATCCATGTCTTGGTCGAGCGGGACATCTGAATCTTGAGGTGCGTCTTGAGCGTGCATGCCCTTTCTTTTCAGATATTGTAGGTAACCGAGCGATGCCGCTACAGCGACGAATATGAAGATGCCAGTTGATACCAGCCCGGCTACTAGACCGGTTTCTTTCCTCTTCGAGGTCATTATGTCATCTGTCAATAAACATACCAGGATAATAAATTTTATGCGTGAATAACATTCAGAACTTCCAAATTCGTTATAAAAAAATCCAAAATTAATTTTAGAATACTAGAATAGAGAACTCTGATGCCTCTGCATGGAGGAATCAACAACTTGCAACGATGCAACCACAACAAACTAGAAAGAAATGGTGGTTGATGGATGGTTAAGATCTTTGGCACTTGTTTCTCTGTGTTGTAATGACCTTATTAGCCTAATGTTTTGTTTGTAATAGTGAAGTTGAAAAACGCTTATATGTTTTTTTTTGTGATCAAAGGATTAGACGCGTCCGTGGTTTTCTTATAGTTGTCTTTTTTATGGTTTGTAAATTATGGCGGGTTCTTTAATGAAAATCTGTGAGGGGGCTCGTTGTTTTCTAGAAAACTGCATAGAAGCGTGAAGATAGGCAACAATTAATCGAGTGAAAATTATTGGGTCCCGCGGTCCCCCTCCACTCATGTCACTCCATTCATTTGTCCATGCTCCAACGTGTCTGTCCGCCTGCAACCACTCATTCACAAAAGATTTTTCATAGGTTTAGACTTATTTCTTTTGCGACATGGTTTAGACTTATTATTATGTGGGACATTGTAGCTTTTTATTATAGAAAAACACAATACAGACGTAGACACTCAGAAGCACACACATATCTATGCCTACAGAGCACACACATATCTATGATCGCATGGATGCACACCCTATTACTATGAGCACATCTGATAGATTGATCCGATGGGTCATGACTTACTTTGGAATTGGTACACATAGGGATGAATTCGTATGGAAATTAGCGTTTTTGGTTGAAAATGGGAGGAGGTGGGCCCACAATGAAAATTGATGTGTGTGGACCGGAAAATCTAATTCGAAAGCTTAGCATTTTTTAGATAATTTTCACTAAAAAGACCAAATAAGTCCCCGTTTCTTACTATAGTTCACACGCAAAAAAGAAATACAACCCCGGTCGGAGATAATTACCCTGATTCAGTATAAAGTTATCAGCATCAAGTATTTTTTGAAAGAAACAGAGGCTGATTTAGTAAAAAATCAGCACCAAGTATTTTCAGTCGGAGGCTTATTTAATACCACTATTTGTATTAAATAAATCAGTCTCAGGTATTTTCGAATGGAGGAAGTAGTATGTATGAATACAGGTACGTAGAAGGAAGCCACATACGTACCTGTCAGAGTGGACTCGAACGACCAGGAAAAAATCTGGTGCTGCTCGACGTAGTCCCCGATGGCCGCCGAGAATCCCACCGCTGCGTCCTGCGTCAGGCCGGCGGCCCGGCAGTCGACGTTTGTGCTGACGGTGTAAGAACTCAACTCCGGCATGTCGTCTAACCGCAGGGTCGCCGAGAGCGTGGCCGTGCCGGCGTCGTACCTGACCGACGCCGACATGGCCCCATTGAAGCTCCCGTCCGGCAGCGCCGTGTAGTTCCTGGACCTGATGTCGTTGACGTTGAGGCCGAGGTGGCTGATGGTGTCATTGGGGTCCCACTCGACGTTCCTGAGCGTGTCAAACTCCACGCCGACGGTCGGCGGGAAGTAGGTGTTGGCCGGGTTGCCGCGGTTATTGAACAGCGCCAGGAAGCCGCCGCTGGCGTCCGTCGGCATGCTCGGCGGGTAAGGTCCCACGAAGAAGGCCATGCCATCACCCTGCACTTGGCCGGCGAGATTAATAGCTCAGATCAGAAGAAGTCGGACGGACGGAAGAATATTTCAGAGAATTTCTGGTGCTTGCCTGGCTGGTGGTCACGTTGAGAGACTTGACGGCGAAGGTGAAGTTGGTGGTGAAGCTGGCGGCCTTGCCGGTGGCGTCGTCCCAGAGGCGCACGGCCTGCCCGTGGGCGACGCGGCCGGTGCTCCAGCTCCTGGAGAGGTTGGTGAGGTCGATCCGGTCGAGGACAGGGGCGGAGTCGTTCATGTACTTGAGGTCGGCGCCGGCGAGGACGCCGGGGGCGGAGAAGTTGTAGTCGAAGCTAAGCGAGGTGACGACATGCGGAAGGCAGCTGGATACGGCTAGGAGGAGCAAGATGAGGACGGGACGGCACTTGGGTGTCGCCATGGCCATGAGCGTTGTGTGCACGCAGGAGCTCTTGCTGATGAGGAACGGCGTTTGATGATCGACACGCGAGCAGCTATTCTTATAGGGACAATCTAACTAGAACTAGAACTGTATGATGGAGCCCTAGTACGTAGAGTAGGGGCAGTGAAAGGAAAATATATAGAAAAATGGCAGTGCGGTCTTATCAGAAACGAAAAGTACAGGTCAACGACGACCGGCGAGACACCCTAGCTATTAATTACTGAGTATTTGATAAATACTCCCTCCATCACAGTTTGTTAGGCGTATCTCACATCGCTCTAAGCCCAAGGTGCGGTGTGATTGACAGGAAATAAGGAGGCGCTGGAGCTGCGTTATTGAAGGAGGTGTGTCTAATGAATCGCTAAACCAACGCATGCGGGAGGCCATGCGGAGCAAATAAGAAACCGATTCCCACTTGCACTCATGTTCACACTTGCATGCGCTGCACAAACCAGTGGGAAAGGCGTAACAAGTGTGGACGCGTAACGGGAGTGGATGGGGACCCAGCATTCTCTCCCGCAAGAGGCGTTACATCAACGATGGGAACGACTTCACATCCTATAATTTGCCTCTGTTTTTCCTCTGTCTCGGTGGTGCTCTAATCGGCAGTGTCGGGGAGCAGGTGGCTTGGTCTTATTGCAATCTTTAGATCCAGTGACATTTGTGTCTACTGAGCTCGTTCTCGTCTAGATGGTTTCGGCATCGGTTGATGCGGTTGTGTTTGATGTCTTGAAGCAGGATGTGTGGATGGCCGCTAGCGGCGATGTTTCTCTTCTTCGACCGTATTGAATGAAAATGATGATGTTGGGATCTAGTGGAAAGCATAAAACACCCGGTCGATGTGTCACAAAGCCTCGATCTCGTTGTTTGCGGTGCTCTAGTTCATCGGCTCGAAAAATATTCTTGTATGCGAAGGTGCTTACTCCAATCTAGGTATGGTGGTTGTTATCTTTTTTCTCTAGCGTTGCCTTCATGGCGCCGGAGGACCGATGGTGGGCAAGATTCAGCAAGAGACAAGGTTCTTCACTCTTAAAATTATAGTTTTACTAGTTGCAGGATCTTTGATGTAAAAATGTAAGACAATAATGGCTAAAGTATTAAACAGTGCCAAACAGTGATCCTATAGCTACAGCCAACGAACGATCTTATCGGCACACCTTAGGCCACAACCCTAGTAGCCCAGGGCCTGGCTACACCCCTGTATGTATGTCTCATCTGATGACCGCACGTGTATCCTCTGTAATATGTTATCTAATGGGGGCTGAGCAACTTGTCTGCTCCTAACTCACTTCCATGCCATGTTGCGTACATGTCTTAGTGAGTTTATGTAATCCCATATTGTAGCTCTCTCCTTCTATCAATGAAAAGATACGCAACCTAAACGTATTCACAAAAAAAATATGTTATCTAATGAAATATATTTGTCTAATGGAATATATGTGATTACCTTAAAAACGAAATATATGTGGTTATATTTTAAAAAGAAGTGTGGACGTGCAACAAGAATTCTTCCGGTACCTCACTTGTTGTGTTTGTGCCGCCACATACATCTTACTATTAACCGCGCTGCCGTGGCCATTTCTGTTCCGAAAGCCTAGGTTACTAAATCGACGATCATTTCTAGGAAACGCATGACCTGAATTCTCGTCATCGTTGATCGTCTTGACTTGCCTTCTACTCCAGTTCACACTGCTCATATATTTGCTTTTCCACGCAAGTTCTGTTTCTGTTGTTTATGTCGCTGTTATACCCTACCGCCATGGTCCCTGGCGGTAGGCTGTTATACCCTACCGCCATGGTCCCTGACGGTAGCAAAAGGGTCAGATTTCGAAAAAAATTCAAATTAGGATCAAATCTCGAATAGGTTTCAGAAAAGGGTCAAAACATGAAATTTAGCCACCCCCTGCTCCTCTCGTGAGCGCTTTGGGATAGCACATGTGCGGGGAAGGAACACTATTTTCTTTTTTCAAATATTTTTTTGTTTTTTTTTGCGCTTGACTAAAAATGTTTGTGTTATTAAAAATCAAAATTTATAACCGTTCATGATTTTTGAAAAATGATTGTGAGCTAAAAGAAATCTCTTGAATTTGAAAAATGATGGCAGATTCAAAAATTGTGAAAAATATTCTTGAATTCGGAAGATGTCTGAGAATTACAGAAAAATATTTGCGAATTCAAAAAAATCATGAATTTTAAAGTCTGTGCATTCAAAAAAATATTCATGAGTTCAAAAAAATGTTCACAAATTTCAAAAAAAGTTCATGGATTCCAAAAAAATTCACAACTTTCAAAAAATGTTCATGAAGTTCAAACTATGTTCACTAATATCATAAAATGTTCGGAAGTTAAAAAGATGCTCATAAATTTCAGAAACAATAAATAATTCCAACACATGTTCACGAACTCAAAAAATGTTAGTCAGTTAAAAAAATATTCACAACTTTCAAAAAAAATCACGAGTGTGCAAACATCTTCAAAAATTTCAAAAATGATTCTTGAACTCAAAACGTGTTCACAACTTTTTTTAAAAATTCACAAATTTGTCGTCGCCAGATCAAGGATTTTGAGTTTTCACCCTCGAGAGAGTCCGAGATCCCAAAAATAATGCCTTAGCAAGACCATTGCGAGGTACAACCAATGAAGGCCAGACCTTGGCTTTC